CCACCAAAAAAAATTGGGCATTCACCTTATGAGATATTGTTCAGCCAGCCACTCTCAATCATAGGTCATGTCAAGGGTGATCTCTGTGAACTAGAGGAATTGACCCTAAGAAGGCAGATGCAGGTATTAGGAAGAGCCATGCAAAGTATTTATGACTGGATACAAGAGAGATTGCCCATAAAACTAACAGACCAAATACACCCCTTGAAGCCCTGGGATATTGTTTATGTCAAGAAATGGAATCCACCCAGAGTAGGACCCTTAGATGATGGGCCACATACTGTGATCATGTCCATGCCCACTGCTGTTAAAGTTTCAGAAACTATGCCTTGAATCCACCAGTTGGCTAAAAGTGGCAGCCCAAGACAAGTGGATCATCCAATAGGATCCAGAACATCCAAATTGACTGGATCCTATGGTGAGATGAAGCTCCCATGGGAACTGGCAGCCCTGCTCTAATTACCCCAGAAGCTGACTAGTGTACACACAGCTGAATCCCAAGGAAACAACAGCCTTGTTCTGGTCACTCCAGAAGCTGACCAGTCCATGCATGGTCAGAGTTTGTGGATCAACATGGAGTTACAACAGCATACATCTCTTTTCCTTCTTGTTATAATTTTCCCTCTGCCCCTGTGAGGAGAGAAATCCCTAGAGGGCTGTTCATAGTGCATCTACACTACATGGTTGGGGAGCATCATAACAAGAATCCTACTATATTCTACCTATTATAAATTTACAGTAAAACACCAGCAACTTGTACTCATAATCGAACCTCCTACTCTCAATTTATGACCCAGGAAATAACCAATCTTACATCTGTTATGACCCTAAGTTTTCACCTTCTGAAACCTGATTTGAGGTCCATTCTGGGAAGAAGGAAATAGGTGATAGTGGCCTCTTAAGCAGAACTAAGTTTCCTCCAAATCATAAAGGGACCATTTCTTTGTACTTTGATGCATGCCAAGCAACATATCTAAGCCCATCTCTAACTTCATGTGGAGTCTATCATGGGAAAGATATTATAGATATAGTCCTGTATTCCTGTGTGTACCTCAGGAAGGGATAAGCCATTACTATAGCCCATTATTCCCAATTAGGACAAAACTCTGAATGGTTCTGCTGGAAATGTGTAACCTGACTACTGCCTCAGTCACCCAGAGCAGTCAGCCAGAGCACACTCCAAACACTGAGGCAAAAGGCTTCAACCCTTACAAAATTACCTACCAAACCAAATTGTCAGACAAGAACGTGTAATTGTATAAACTTCACAAGTCTACAGGTAGATCTGCCTACATGGTCTAGGGGATACCCTATAACATTAATGCTTGGTTATGCAGCATGAAGTGTGAAAAACTTTATATATTTTTTCAGACTAATGATTCCAAGTCTTCCACTCATTCTATGCACATATTCTACAAGAGTTACTTGAACCCCCTCCTTGGCAAGAAACCTGTTCACTGATTTTTCTGAAACCATAGCCCAGAATCTAAGTGTCTCCTCATGTTATGTCTGTGGGGGAACTAACATGGGAAACCAATGGCCATGGGAAGAAAGAGAATTAATTCCAGAAGACAACCTCACCTTACCCACATCTTCCCACAACTCCACATTCATGAACCCAAGCATCTGGTGCTTAAAACTTCTATCATTGTGAGGTTCTGCATTGTTCACTGGGGAAAGGCCTTTACACATTCAGTGGGAGAACTAACTTGTCCAGGGCAACAATACTATATTGAGACTCTGGGAAAAAATTTTGGTGGGGAAAACAAAACAGCTCTCAGTTACCTCACCCCAATCCATTCTCTGGCTTTCCCTCTTTAAACCACTCTTGGCACCCATTTGAGGGCTTAAATGACTGGAAGGCACCCTCTGGTCTCCACTGGGTCTGTGGAGTGCAGGCATACTGACATCTACCAGCTAAGTGGTCAGGGACCTGCATACAATTAGGCAATCCTTCTTTTTTAATACCCTTGAGACAAAGACAAATTCTAGGGTATCTTGTCTATGGAGGTGATGATACATGATTCCAAAGGGATATAAAAATAGGAAATTGGAAACATAACAAGTGGTCCCCAGAGAGAATTATCCCATACTACAGCTCATCTTCCTGGGCGGAAGATGGAATGTAGGATACCACACCCCTATTTATGTGGTTAATTGCATCATAACACTACAGGTCATGCTTAAGCTCATCACCAATATCACTGCAAAGGTCTTAAATCTACTTGCCTGATAAATCTCAAAAATAGCAAATATAATTAATCAAAATACAATACCTCCTAGGCCAAGAAGGAGAGGTGTGCAGAAAGTTCAATCTAACTGTTTCCTAGAGATTGATGGCAATGGAAAGGTCATGGAAGACATTACTGCAAGAATACAGATATTAGCCCATGACCCAGTCCAAAAATGGAAGGGATCTCCGGATTCTCTCTTTGGAGGCTGGTTTTCATCTTTGGAGGATTCGAGACCTTGTTAGTAATAGTTCTGGCTATCTTGGGAGTTTGTCTCAATCTCCCTTGTCTGTAATCCCTGCTTGTCAAAAATATTCAGTTGGTCATAAAACCCCTGTTAAACAGACACAGCACCACGGGACTAATGACGCTGACCAAGTACTGACCTCTGCTCATTGGGGAACCACATCCCCCAACACAGGGTGAAGATAATGATGATGTTCTCTATTGAAACTCATTTATAGAAAGCATCAAAGGAGGGTGTGAAGCAGGGCTTAAAGAAGAAAAAATCAAGTTTCCCCAACCTAAGCAATTTCATTTAGACTTCTCCATTTCTATGACTGTTGTTCTTGTAAGAAAGGTTTCTCAACCTCCTGTTCTCATAATATCCTGTTTTTTTATCTGACCAAAGCCACCAAAATATGCTAAGCTACAAAACTGTCACAGCTTATGTAGGTGGCCATTGTCCTGCTCCTGTTCACAGGTTTCTTGCCACTGGGTAGACCAATCCAAATCTGCAACATGTATGAAACTAGAGCTCTTCCTCTGTTATGGACTCAGCCTTTGAACAGGAATTCCCTTTTTTGGTGCACATCTAAATAAATCTTCCTGTTACATATATTGGTCTCTATGATCTCTTAAATTCTACAGCTCCTCAACATTCCTGTGTTTAAAGTTATTCTCTGTCATGAGGAATAAAGCTCCACTACTTTTCCAACTGGAGCAAGCCAGCCAAGCATGATAGTGCATGTGTAAAATTTCAACATTTTGGGAGGAGGAGGCATGGGAATTGCAAATGTGAGAGTAGCTGGGGGCAATGTAGCAATCACTTCTTTCAAAATAATTAAAATAGCTCCAGATGTACTTCAATGTGAAGGGGTCTGGGTTCAATTCCAAAGACCACAGAAAGGAAAAAGAAAGATGGGGGGTGGGAAGAGAGGGGAGAGAGAGGAGAGAGAGAGTTAGAGGGAGGATGGAGAAAGAAGGTAAAAGATGGAAGAAAGGAAAAGAAAGAGAAAGAAAAAAGAAGGAATGAAAGAAATAAAGGGAAAGAGGGAGAGCATCATTTACGGCAAAGGGCCATGGTTTGGATATGGCTTCAGTATCCTTCGAGGTTCCTATATTGAAAGTTAGTCCTCTGTATGAGGAATAAAGAAGGAAAGAAACTGAACCTCTTTGGTGTTTAAAGGAGGAATCTTTAGACATATTTATTGTTGGATGAAGTCATAAGAAAGGGTCCCTGAGATTGAATCCTGGAAGTTTTGTAAAAAGAAGGACAGGCACCTGAGGAGACACACATGTGCACTCACTGTCTCTCCCCTGTTACTCAGAAGGTCAACAGGAGATGCAGCCCTGCCCTTGGCCCAGAGCCAGGAGCCAAGAGAAACCTGTGTTCTTGTAGTACTCCCTGTCTGCACCATGGTGACTGGTAAGGAAGGCTAAGACAGGACTAGAAATAATGGGTTCTGAATCCATGAGATGTCCTTTGCTGCCCACCTGCCCTCTAAACCTGTGCCCCAGGAGGTCAGTTTGTGCTACAAGCAGTGTGGGTTCCAGAGAAGTTTTCTGAACAGAGTTTGGGTGATGAGGAAGGCTCTTCCTATAGATGGACGTATGGAAAGAGCCTGTTAACATTTCAGAGAGGAGCTCCTAATGGCTGTGCACTCTCTAGTGTGACACTGACTCCCTCTGGCCCCAATCCAGTTCTCCAGCCTCCAGTAACTAAAGACGGTGACATCACCTAAGAAGTATAATGCTCCGTACTTCTACACACTGACTTTATAAAAATATCAGTATTGCAACTATTTGAACAATAATATAGTAAACATTGCAATTCTAAATGTCTCCCAACTATAAATGACCACATTTGGGCTCACACTGGTGTTTTGATACAGTATCAAACATAAGTGTAACTATTATTGCCTTGCTTTTATATTTAATGATACTTTGTGTTACATCCTGTATCTTTTAGTAGATAACTACTTTAAATTCTAGGAGGTCCTCCTGATTTGCTCATCCTTTGCACATTACAGAAGTACTGCAGGGAGCCTTACCTTGCTGAGGTGACATATCATGATAGCAGAGGTGATCATTTATTAAAGAAATGTTTTATGAAGAATACCTTGATAATATGTAGTAGAATCACACATGTGGCACAACTAGTTACTCATGGTAGAGATGAAGGTTGAGGATCTCTGGCTGGTTCTCCAGCTGAGAAGACTTTCAGCAGACATCTGAAGGTATCCAGTTCCACTATTTGCTTATGGTGACTCTGAAAGCTAAGAAGACCATGAAAATGCAAAAGCCCTCAGCAGGAAGCAAATTATCACTAGAGTATCTCTTCCCTATTTGAATGTCTCAGAAATAAATTGAGAAAGTAGTGATATAAACAAATCACAACGCCTTCCTACTTCATTATCTTCATGCTTAGAATCGTGCTCCTCAGAGTGGTCCTGCTCTAGTTGCTGAAAAAGACAGAGTGTGAACAATTGAAACTGTCCAAAAATCTATGCATCAGTTAAAGAAGTACCTTATAGTCCTCTTTCGAACATGCTAATGCCTGACCCGATAATCCATTTTTTTATGGCTCTGATACAAATTCTTACTGGGGCCTCCACAAATGGTTTCATTGTGGTGGTCAATGTCATAGACTTGATCAAGCAGAGACAAATGGCTCCTTTGGATCTGCTTATTTCCTGCCTGGCGACATCGAGGATTTGTCTGCAGGTGCTCATCTTCCTTGTGCATCTGGCTCTTCTCTCCTTCATTAAACAGCCAGAATTTCCTGAGTATTGTACACTTTTCATGTTTGTAAGTATTTTATGCCTTTGGTTGTCCACATGGCTTGGAGTTTTCTACTGTGCCAAGATCGCCAACATCCCACACCCCCTGTTCTTCTGGCTGAAGATGAGAATATTCAAGTTGGTGCCATGGCTGATCCTGGGGTCTATACTGTATGCATCTATCAGTACTGGCATCCGCACTATATATACATGGACTGTTACTCCAAAATTCTTCATCAACTCTTTCTGCAAAAATGCAACTCAAACCAAAGGAATAGCTATTATACCATTTTTGCTTTTGTTTATTCATCTTACAGTGCCATCAATTATCTTACTCATCACTCTTCTACTCTTGATTTTCTCCCTGAGGAGACATACCCAGAAGATGAGAACCATTGCTGCAGGCACCAGGGACCAAGGCAGGAGCTCCCTCTTCAGGGCCATGCTGTCCATCCTGTCTTTCTTAATCCTCTACTTCTCCCACTACACCACTGCCATTTTGTTCTTCTTTCAAATTTTGCAGTTTGGAAGCTTCCTGTTTGTGTTCTGCGCCATGGTGGCTGACACCTATCCATGTATACACTCTGTCATCTTAATTTTAGGAAACCCTACACTGAAACAAAATGCAAAAATATTCCTGTGCGGTGGTCAGTGTGATCAGTGAGAAGAACTTGGATCTGTCCCAAGGATCTAGGAGTCAATGGCATTTTGGTGCCTGTCACACTTTACTCACCAGCAAACACCCAGTTTGTAAATGTACAGATCTTCGTCATAGCCCATCCATCCCACAACATGGTTCCAGACATGATGCCTTCACAAAGGGTTAAATTGATCTGTAAAGTGCAACAAACGTCATTTGACTACATCAATGTTATGTCCTGGTTGTGATATGTGACCATCATCATGCAAGACAAATAGTACAGGGGTTTTCCTGTATGATGTCTTCCAAATGCATGAAAAACAGCAATCTTCTCAAAATTTAGTCTTTAAGAGGAAGAACAGCACTTGCTTGCACTTGTGATTTCAGAAAGACACAGAATGGTATAGTGCCTAGTCCTAGGTGGGTGCCTAGTCCTAAATGGTTTATCTGACTCAAATGGGCTGACTGTTCATCTACCTGCATATGATTTCTCCCCTCTTTGTTGGAGTCACTAGTAATGAAACTCTTCTTAGACTGGAAAGGAAGCTGAGTAGAGGTAGCCTTACTGTGTCCCTGTGAGTGTATGTATTGTGTCCATCTTGCAGAGATCCTAGATGTGATGGTGACACTTCCTAGAAACAAATAAAAAGTATGATAAGTGGATGAAAAGGAAGAGGAGGAGTAGTTCAGATTTGAGATTTGACGTTTCATTTTCCACCTCCCACATTTGTGCACCTTGGACAACTATAGCTTGCAAAAGTCTTTCATTTCGCATGTGTATACTTGGCTCGGGACCTTTCCAATAGATGGTGGTGACTTGATACTCCTACCCCATGGCTTGTCTTCTCAGTGAAATAACACTAAGTGTGTGAGAGGGACTGGGGGTGTCAGCATCTGCTTGACCTCATAAATGCCTTTTCTGCTTGGCTGACTGATGATTTTGGAAACTAAGATGTACATGTATGTTTTCAAAACCCCTCTGCTTTCAGGCAAGTAAGTAAAATAAAATAAAAGTTGTTCTTAAGTTTAGCTATAAATTTTGGTTCCTGTGTGATTATTTAAAATTTCTTAGATTTAGATTTGCCAATCTTCAGTTGTATGGATTCAAATTGTTATTTTGTAATCCAAGACATGCAACTCATAGAGCAGTTTCTTTCTTTCTTTTTTTGCTTAAATTATTTTATTGGTACATATCAGGTATGCAATATCTTTACATTTCTCATCGGATGCTTGTACTTGTACATGATGTATCTTATTTTTTCCCCATTCCCTGTTCTCCTTTCCCTTTGCCCATAGAGCAGTTTCTTTATAGAACCTGGAGATATGTGCGTGTGCTCTTCAGTGTGAGAATTAAGTTTCCTATATTTCTCAAGTCTTGAGAAACACATTCCCCAAGGAAAAAGTAGCAACCTCCACTTCCTGTTGGTAGGTACTATGCCCTCTCTGATGTAGATAGCACTAGTAAGAGCAGGTGTGTCCTGGAGGTCAATTTTGCTCTCATTGGGGAACAAACAATGAAGAGGCACTCTTATTTTTATCACATTTCCAGTTCCACCAATACTTGCTCTCTGAACCTACAATATGTGTACCTGCAGTTGGGCAGAAAGAGGGAGCAACTTCAAGCATGCAGAGAGAAATCTTTGGGATGTTTTTTTCAGATATCAATTTTAATCCTATTTCAGGTCTCTTTCCTCTGATAGTGCTAGTTAATGTCAAAACTATGAAGGTATGATTAAGTTTGTGTACTGAATATTATCAAGAATTGTAATAAAAGAAAATCATAAAGTATAGTGAAGCATTCTAAAAACATTACCACTGCCCACTTTCCTGAAATAAATTTCTTCCAGAAATATTGCCTAGCTATTTTGTTGCTGGGGTTTTGTACCCTATTTTAAAAGCAAAAGAGTCTCAGTCTTTGTGTCTCTGGAGCCCTCTGGATTAATCAGTCTTGCCATTTTTTCATCCTTCTCTCATCTAGCAGCAGTTCAATCTCTATCTGGCCTGTCACAGTGCTCAACCCCCTGCTTCTAGAAATGGGGGCTATTGGCCAAATAGTGTGTGCTTGTAATTCAATCCCTCTGGAGGCTGAGACTGGAGGATTTCAAGCGTGAGGCTAGCCTGGGAAATTAATCAGATTAACAGTATCTTGTTTCAAAAGAAATTTTAAAAGTTTGGAGATATAGCTCAGTGCACACAGTATGGGATAAATCACCAGGACCAAAGGAAGAAGAAAAAAAGGAGAGAGAGAGAGAGAAGAGAACAAAGAGAAAGGAGGGATAAAATGAAGGAAGTAAGAGAAAGGAAGTAAGAAGTAAAGGAAGGAAGGCAGAGGGAAGAAATGAAGGAAGACAGAATAGGAGAAATGGAAGAGGGAAGAAAATGCATGACCAGAGTTTCTGGTGATGGCCATGGTTTACATATGGCTTGATTATCTCTCTGAAGCAGGACTTGAAAAATAGAAACAAGTTTCGCCTTAGACTTTCCCTTCCTGCTGCTATTGTTCTTTGTGCTACTAGAAATAAAATTAGTAACTTTGTCTCTGTAAGTAAGGTTTTACAACTTCGTATTCCCATAAGATCCTGTTTTTACCTGGCCACCAAGATATGAGAAGTTACAAAACTGTCACAGCTTAACTAACTGCCTTTTTCTGCTTCTGTCCACTGGCTAGGTAGACCGACTCCCTCTGCCGCATATCTACAATTAGAGCCCTTCCTTTGTCCTAGGATAAGCCTTTAGACACAAGTCCACTGAGCCAGTGTGCACCTAAATAAGCCCTCCTGTTTCACCCACTGGTCTCTCCAAACTCTAAAATTCTGCAAAATTTCACGGGGGCTTGCCTGGGATTGGAGATAACACTCTCCTGTTCACTTTGCCTGTAGTCTTGGGGGCCCCAAAATGGGAGAGACACCAAGTGCCACTGGGTGAGACTTAAACTCAGAGTCAAGCATAATAGTGCATGCCTATAATTTCAGCACTCTGGGAGGCTGAGGTACAAGGATTGCAAATGTGGCACTAGCCTGGGCAAGATAGCAATAAATTATTTTTTAAAATTAAAATAGCTTGGGATGTAGTTCATTGTGAAGGGCATGGGTTCAATCCAGAGGACCATTGAAAACACAGAGTAACAGAAAGAGTGGTGGTGGGGGGTTAGAGGGAGGAAGGAGAGATAAAAGAGGGAAAAGGGAGGAAGAAAAAGAAAGGAAACAAAAGAGAAAGAATGGAAAGAAATAAGATAGAATGGGAAACAAAGAGGGGAAGAAAGGGAGTGAGCAGCACATATGGTGACTGGCATGGTTTGGATATGGCTAGAGTGTTGCTCAGGGTCCCTGTGTTGAAAGTTAGTCCTCATGGAAAAGAATGAAGAAGGAAGAAAGCAAACCTCTATGGTGTTTAAAGGAGGAACATTTGGGTGTGTTTACTGTTGGCTGAGGACATCAGAGAGGGGCCCTGAGATTGAATTCTGATGGCTTTGTAAGAAGAAGGACAGGCAACAGAGGAGGCATACATGTACACTCACCATCTCTCCCCTGTTACCAAGAAGGTCAGCAGGAGATGCAGTCCTTGGGCCAGAGCCAGGAGCCAAGAGAAACCTGTGTACCTATAACCACCTGGTCTAGAGTGTGGTGAATTGCAAGAAAGATGGGCTAACACAGGCCTGGCCCTCACAGGTTCAGAATCTCTGAGATGTTCTGTGTTGTCCAACTGTTCTCCATGCCCTGGGGCTCCCAGACATTATTGTAGTGCTGCAGTCCATGTGGCTTCCAGAGAAGTTTTCTGAACAGAGTTTGGGTGATGAGGGAGGCTCTTCCTATGGACAGACATATGAAAAGAGCCTGTTACATTTCAGAGAGGAGCTCCTAATGGCTGTGCACTCTCCAGCGTGACCCTGGCTCCCTCTGGGCCCAACCCAGTTGCCTAGTCCTAAATGGTTTATCTGACTCAAATGGGCTGACTGTTCATCTACCTGGGTATGATTTCTCCCCTCTTTGTTGGAGTCAGTAGTAATGAAGCTCTTCCTAGACTGGAAAGGAAGCTGAGCAGATGTAGCTTTACTGAGTCCCTGTGAGCATGTGCATTGTGTCCATCTTGCAGAGAACCTAGTTGTGATTGTGACAATTCCAAGCAAGAAATAAAAAATGGACAAGTGGACGAAAAGGAAGAGGAGGAGTAAAGAAGAAGTTGAGATCTGAAGCCACATTTTCCATCCCTTCTAATTGGTCACGTTGGACAGACAATAGCTTGCAAAGATGTTTCATTTTGCATGACTGCACTTGGCTCATAAGTTTTCCAATGGATGATGGTGACTTGATATTCCTACCACATCGCTTGTCTTCTCAGTGAGGCAACACCAGTACATGACAGGGGCTGGCGGTGTCAGCATCTGCTTGTTCTCCTAGTTGCCTTTTAAGCTTGGCTGGCTGATGATTTTGGTGATGTACATTTATGTTTCCAAAGCAAATTAAAAACTCCTCTGCTTTCAGTCAAGTAAATAAAAGTTTTTAAAAAGATGTTCTTAAGTTTAGCTGTAAGGTTTGGTTTCTGTTTGATGATGGAAAATGTGTTAGGTTTAGATTTGCCAATCATCAGTAATAAGGATTCAAATTGTGATTTTGTAATCCAAGACATTCAACTCATTCAAGAGTTGCTTTAGACAATCTAGAGATATGCGTGTGTCTCCTTGAGTGTGAGAATTAAGTTGTCTGTGACTTCTCAGGTGCTGGACCTGATTCCCAAAGGAACAAGGTAGCAGCCTCCACTTCCTGTTAGTAGCTGCCATGCCCTCCCTGAAGGAGGCAGCTCCGGGAAGAGCAGATGCATCAGAGGGTCAATATTGCTCTCCTTGTGAAAGGAACAATGAAGAGGCACTCTTATTTTTATCACATATTTAGTTCAGCAAATACTTGTTTTTTGAACCACAATATGTATACCTGCAGTTTGGCAGAAAGAGAGAGGGAGCAACTTCAAACATGCAGGGAGAAACGTTTTGGAATTTTTTTCTAAGAAACAAATTCTGATTCTATTTC